TATATGGGTATAGAAATGTTCAAAGTCCAAGGAGTTAAAAAAATTAAAACATAAAACCCAAAAAAGAATAAAGTTGGAAAAAAAGAAGGGATGGACGAGGGGGAAAACAGAAGATAAAATTAAAGGCAAAAGCAACAGGAAAAACGAAAACGAAAAAGAAAAAGAAGAAGACAAAATAAGAAGGAAACAGGGAAATGGATCAATCAAGACCATAGAGTTTCAAAAGTCAGACTGATGACCGAATCCGTCATGCTCTCGGTTCACCCGTCTGACCGACGGTTCGCTTCGTTTGATCGCAGTTCATTAGTGTATACAATGTTCTAACTTCAGTATCAACCTAATACCCAAGACAGCGATCATGCGAGAAATGAAATTATGTAGAACACATTCTAGGTAAGATAAGTCACCAATCATACCTTCAAATAAATTATATAATTTCATTTCATATCCAGTGTGACCATCTTATTGCAAGAGCTGTCAAGAACAAAAATACTGAATATCCTGTCATTATGTACCATTCCTGAACTAGCCAACAGCAATTTACAGATACAACGCCTTTTTGTCCAAATGTAGCGATGGCAAAACCTGGCATTCCTCCTTTCTTCCACGTCATAGCTGGTACTGTTACTTCCCTTGTCCCATCAGGATGGGTGTGGTCTGAGAAGCTATCAGCATGAGCACTAAATATAATCCTGTGGAAAGAAAAATGAGAGTAGGCCTTCAAGTGCCATCCTTGAGGAACAGACTCAATAAGAATTTGTGTGTACAAGAATTTCTTTTACCAAAGTATCACACACGGTTAAAATTGCAACAAGCAAAAGTGCAACAAAAGGACCATCATTAACATGTCTAAGTAATTCAATTCACAGATATACATTTGCCAAAATATGCGGTATATGGAGGACTAACCTTGGTTTAAGCGCTTGAAGAATATACTGTGTTGAATTTGCAGGGAGGGTATGCGATTGATCATATAGCCTCCTGCCATCAACTCCCCTGCGGGGTCCAATTAGCACGTCAGAATATAATCATCAAACCAATAATAAAGGCAACACAGAGACACACAAATGCACATTGTACGCTATTTAATGTTCCAAAAAATTCAAGTTAGGCGATATTAAAAAAACATCAACAGGTAAAGCTCACATGTAACTGCAAAGTATCCACAGAAATGTATCAGCATTGGTATGGAGCAGGAGTTATGACTCTCAACAAAAAAGTATGTTCACAATACACACTATACAAGATTTACCTTAGCTTTGAACTCGGGGGAACCAAAGGATGATCTGAGACAGTTCCATCTGGAAACATGGGAACACCAATGACTCCTGTGTCAGACTTTTGGGACTTATGTAGTGGAATGTGGAGCAAAAGGACAGGACCTGATCCCAACGTCATGCTGTTTTGCCTCCAACTGTGGGCACCGACACCTTCTCCGTTTTCACTTCCCAGAGGAGAATGATCTGCTCCATTTAACCCTTTCTTTTGGAAATGATGGCTTTCCCTCTCCAAAACCTTCTCAACATTGAAGCGCAACGTGTTGCCACCACAGAGCAGTGCAACCGCATTTAGTGACATAAAACTGATATTACTAAACTCAAAAGCACCACAACCACTTGAATCTAGTCCTGGCAAATGCTTGGCCATATGGTGCACCAATTTACCATCCAAACTCGAACATCCGCCAACATCTTTATCACCTAACACGATATGAAGAGGAAGGGAAGAGTACTGCCCCAATATTCCCTCAAACTGTTCAAGAACAGCTATCCATTTGCTCTCGTTATGCTCTGAACCCCTTGCTGAGATGTCCCCAAGGACTATGATCATATCTGGATTCGTTGTTTCAATAGATTTCTGACGAAGACATAAACACAGCAAATTAGTATTAACCATAACTGTGTACAGTATCCATCAAAAAATCTCATAACTGAAATGACTTAGCCTTTACACTTGCCAATAAGAGATGCATCTTCTATCAGATTTATGACTGAAGTGAAAATAGCTTCTAGGACATTTACCATTACCAATTTCCTGAAATTCAGCCTATATAATCGTCTAGAAATGGAATATATTTCAGGAATTTGTAGACACTTCAGCACCAGACTACTAAGAACTAAAAAACTCGAAGAATTTTGGGTTCGCCCGCATCTGAATCTGATCACTTACAGTGAAAAGCTTGGACGTGACGTGGTCCCGGAAGAAGCGGTCGGCGTAGGTGGCGTCGGACCCGAGGAGCATCAGGTCGGCCACCATCATCGCCCTGAGGTCCCCGGCGGCGAGGTCGGGGGCGGGCGAGCCGCCGGAGCAGGAGGGCGTGGAGAGCCAGTCCTCGAAGGCGAGCAGGGCGGCTACGAGGACGAGCGGCAGCCACGGGCTGGGCCACGCCGCCATCGCCGGCGAGGTCGGGACAACGCGAGGAAAGCGAGGGTGAGGTCAGTAGCGCTGGGGCTTCGGTTTGGTCGTCGCCGGCCATGACGCGGCTGTTTTCCTTGTTTATTTCTCGCGGCGAGTTTTGACCGGCGGTAATTGGCCATGACAGGTTCTTCCCCTGGGTTTTTATCTTCTTCTCCCAGCCATACGATCGAACATTCAACGGCTTAGATCAGTAGCTGCACTGAACGCTAAATAGTAGTTCCAGCATTGTCCAAAGAACTTGCAATTTTTATTTCTGCATCAATCAAATTGTGTATTATCAACTCTCGGGCTGTATATAAAAATACACAACTCTACGTCCAAGATTTATTAACCGAGTGGTAAACAACAATTGGTTAGATGATTAGAATTGTGATTGATTATGTGTGGGTTATCTTTCAGTGCTTTGGCTTCTCAAAGACGATGGTTAAGGATCTCTTTCTTCCTCCACCAAAAAAGCTCTTCTTCTCTCGTCGGCGCCGTCGCCGGTCCGCCCTATCTTCGATGGCCTCTAGGGCATGGAGGTGTGGAAGATCTCGGCCCCCCGGCGGCAGGAGGGACCCTGTTCTCGTTCTTGTTAGGTCATCGTCTTGGTTGGGTTTGTGTGGTGGCGGCGATGTCCCTTAGTAGTAGGAATAATGTCTCACACGTTCTATCCCCGTTCCGATAGTGTATCTAGCATCGTCGGAGGGCGTGTGAAGGTTTATCTCCATTGGATCTCGCGGGATTCAGTCGGTGCTGGTTTTCGGTGGATCTGTTTGGATCCGGTCTTCATTCGTTTTTATTTGGGTGTTTACAGGTTTGATCTTCTGATCTACGACTTTCTTCATCAGCGATGGTTTCTACTCTGATGCGTTGGTCCTATGGGGTCTTAGCACGACGACTTCCCGACTGTTTACTACAACAAGGTTTGCCCGGCTCCGATGAAGGAGGGGCGATGACGGCAGGGCGCCTTCGTCTCGCTTCAGTGCTTGTAGTCGTCACTAGGTGATCCACGGACATGGTTGTAATTTTTATTATCTCTCTTGCTCTTTGTACTGCCATTATTAAACATAAATAGATTGAAAGTTGCTCATGGAAAAGAAAGGGCGATGGTTAAGACAAGTCTAAGGTCGAGTTTGATCTAATCGCTGTTTTTTTTTTAGAATATGAGTTTGATCTAATCGCTGGTTCTTCTATTTCACCTTTTGTTTTCACAATATTCTTCCCCGTTGTTATAATACGAAACTGCCTTGCAAGGCTTGTCCCAGTTGCATTGCATTAAGTGATCTTAAGTCCTCACCTATTGAGCTGAACAACTCACGTGCCTTTTTAGAACCTTTGAGATCAGTCTAGTTTGTGCATGTCTTTGAGATCAGTCTAGCTTGTGCATATTTTACATCGCAGGCTCGAGCAAAAGTGAAAATATAAAAAGATGAAGCTATAGGCAACGACTTCAAACAACTTCGGTGTAGCTTTTAATTGTATTCTTCTGTATTTGTGTGTGCTTTAGCGTTTTACTTCTATCTGGCGTAATTTGTTTATTTAATGAATAAAGCCATATTGTTATCTTGAAAAGATATTACAAATTATATGCATAATGCATTTGTGGTGGACATGCAATTTGATTCTCTAATCTGGGGCTGTTATTCTGAAAGAGGGTTAAACAAATTAACTATCCAAATGATAGCGCACATACGTGTGGCACTTATCAACACGTCCACATGCACTCAATGTTGTTCGATTCATCTGCACGAATTTTGAAGCAGATGCCATCTGGGTGGAGAGCTACGTAAACAACCAACATCGTGTGGGTGTTATCATTTACATTTAGTGCCACACGTGTGGGTGCTCCTCGCCCGGACGACACACATGACGCTCGCCTGAACATTGGGGCGAAACTGCTTTTCGCCCACACGACACTCAACTAGTCAATCATGCACGTCAATTATTGTTTGATCACACATGACAACTGTCATTAATTAGACATGGCAACTATAGTTAACCCGAATAAAACCAAAAAAGGAAAAAGGAAACAGAGACGTTGACATGATTTACAACTAAAGTTGCCATCCCGGGATAACTAAAGTTGCTATCAAAAAATGTCAGGGTGGAATTGCTTCGTGACACATATGCGGGGTGGGGGTGAGTAGTTGTTGTTGGTTCGTGTGTAGCACGAAGTAGTTGCGTCCAGACATGTAGGTAGTTCTAATGTTCGCCCACACAATGTCGTGTGGGCTGTTTTCTTGGTACGACCACGCGACTCGTGTGGTCGGGTGTCCATTATGTCACACGTGGGACAGTTATCGGCATCAGTTGATTTTAAGAATTAATGAAACCATATATTAATACCACTGTTCCAAGATGGACTATGTCATGGAAATCGTGATGTGAGACTTTTTTGTGCTTATACTTCAGATATCTTCAAATCGAAGAGTGTTACGTAATATAGTTAGAACCCTTTTATTAGTTTTCTGTTAGTAGTAACATACATTAGCCTGACAAGATCGAGCTGCGATCTTAACCTGTCAATGGTGGCTCCAAATCATTCCTGACCCTTTAGCAGTTAATTAAGCTACATCATACATACAACTACAAGGCCGCGGCTACGACGAGGGCTCGACGGAGCCGCCGTGCCTCTGCGGCGACCCCGGCTTGTCGTGGCCGATCCGCGCGGACATCGAGTAGCAGTTCCTCATCCTGCCGCCGCCGGCCTCCACCTCGACGGCGAACACGCCCCAGACCGGCCGGTGGTCGGAGAACCTGGACTCGCCCCGCAGGTACTGCAGCTGCTCGATGCCTTCGCCGTGCCACAGTATCCGGTCGCACCTACGCTGGCATGCAAGTCCTCAGCAACAAGCTTTTACAACCGCCGGCGGCGTTCGCAGGGAGTACGTACCATGCCGGCGTTCGCCGCTTCTTCTTGGACTTGACCGTCTCGCCGGCGTACGCGTCAGAGTTCTGCGTGTACTTGTACGTCGGCGCGAAGCTGATCTTGCCCTCCTTCCAGCCCCCGAACACCCTCCCCGCTTCCCTCTCGATCATCAGCTGCAATGCAACAAAGCCGGGCCATTGAGCAGAGAGATAGGTGTGCAGTGTCTGAAGAAAATTTGCAGTTCGGATTCAGACAGTACCTGGTCCTTCTCCAGCAGAGCGTCCCAGTCGTTCTCCTCCAGCAGCGTCCTCGTCTCCTCGTAGCTCAGGGAGACCCGGTAGTTCAGGTCCCCGAGCCAGATCATCTTGCTGTTGCGCATCGGTCAATGGAGGAATTTTTGCGTGTCAGAGCCAGATTAATGGTGAAGATTGTCAAGAAGATAGGCACGTACTCGTGCTCGAGGATCCGCTCGGGGAGGACGCGCTGGTGGGCGGCGGAGGACTTGCATGCGCGGGGGAAGTGCGCGCTCTTGAGGATCTCGGCGACGTCGGCGTTCCTCCGGACCTCGTCGCCCTCCTTCTCGCCGGAGGCCAGGTGGCTGCACACGAAGCAGAGGCTGGTGTGGTGCAGCGTCATGCTCATGGCGATGCACCCCTTGTTGCCCAGCCAGCGCATGATGCCCCGGCCGACGCAGTCCACCCGGAGGTGCCCCACGTGCTCCACCAGCTCCTTCTTCACCCACACCGACAGGAACAGCCCCACCATCTGCTTGCTCGCGATCAGGCAGTAGCTCATGCCGCCGCCGTCCGCCGCCGACGGCTCGCACTGCCCCGGCGTGGTGGCGGCGGCGGCGCCGTCGTCGTCCCAGCCGCCGGACGACGTCGACGTCGCCTCGGCGGCCGTGCTCGCGGGGGGCGTCTCGGCGGCGCGGTACACGGACTCGCGCACCTCCGTGGCGCGGCGGCGCTGCAGGGACGCCTCCGCGGAGCAGTTGCAGGTCTTGACGAGCGCGCTGTCGACGCGGTAGCTGGTGCTGAGGAGCTTGAGCGACGGCGTCTGGAAGAAGAGGTTGCCGCTGGAGGACCTGGTGGCCATGGCGTCGCGCCGGCGGTTCTGCTGCCGGCCGGCGTCGGCGGGGCCAGGCTCCGGCGGCTGCTGCGGCGGCTCGTCGCTGTCCGGCTGCTCCTGCGGATGGTTGAGCGCCTGGTGGATGAGCGCCAGCCACCTCGCCGCCGGCTCGTTGTCCTCCAGCACCAGCACGTTGCCGGCGGTCAGGGGAACGATCTCCTGAAACCTACTCATACAGCGCCGGTCAGATATTCCCCACGTACGAACGCCATGGTACATGGCAAAGCGATGACACATCGCCATTGTCATTGCACCATTAAACTCACTCATGAATCAATACACACGAGGAAGTGCCATGGCGCGCATTACCCTAAGACGTAAATGTCGGAGGACTCGTCCACCTGCAGGAAGTCCTGCAGGTTAAGCCCGTCGTTGGGATTCTTCCCTCCCACGTTCCACGTACCAACGAACACCCTGCGAGCAACATTTGCACATGGTAAATTCGCAAACATCCTTTTTGAATAGAAAAAATATTTATCGGGACCAGGATTCAGAGATCAGATCAACAAACTGAGGACTGTTGAAGAGTCAATCCAACTCTACCTGTATTTGCAGGTGTCGTCATTCTGCTTCTTGGGCGAGTCGACGCAATTCAGGCTGGCGCTCTTGAACCGCACGCGTGCTGCACGACTATGCGGCGAATCTGCAAATGAATGCTCGTTACGTTTGAATGGAAAAGTTGCAAGGAAGAAGGAAATGCAGAATGAATCTGAATGAGGAACTGATTTCTAACCTGGACCGCCGAAACTCTTCCCTTTCTTGCCGAAGATGTTGGACATGGTGATTATGCGCTGGAAGGAGAGCGACAATGCAAAATCAGATAAGCGCCCACGCATTGAAATGTGCAGTCTAATTTCCTTGTCGAGATCGAGATCGATCTTACCTTTCTTGTCGATCGTCGCGGGTCACGTCGTCCGGTGTCTGAGATCGCGAGACGTCGACCATGGCTTGGCCGGCATTCTAACGGCGTACGTGGCTGGCTACGGCATTGCTGCCGCTTTGATCGAGAGGATGTCGTGGAGGGAAAATTCTGTTTCCTCGGAGCGGGAGAGGATCGTGGCGAGGCTAGGGGCGGGGGAAACGGGGAGGAAAAACTGGGTGGTAGGGAGGGACTCGTGTGATCGCGGCTGCAGCAAACCGCCGGGCATGCAGGGTGCTGGTGCTCGTCGCTCAACTGCCTAGCTACCAGACACCTGTTTTTCTCCTCTTCTTCTTATCTATTTTCGTGAGAAGAAACAGCCGTAATAAACGAAGGTTTTTGCTATGGCGTTTTCACAATCTGAAAAACAGTGCAAAACAACAGCTTTCGCTATTGTTTCTCAGTCTGACAAATTGTACATCATCAAAAAGATACTCTCTCTCCGTGGGACGGAGTAAGTAACTTGATGTTTCTCGAAATAAAATTAGACTGTTGCAGTATAAAGTCATCTTTTTTTTTGACTGGAACACTGTGCATTTCAATTACCAAGGACCAACCCGATCGGTGGTCACAACACAAGTTACATTGTCAGGGAGGTTTGAAAGCCAAACAAATTCGTTCCCATAGGCACCACTACAGCCTAAAGCAGCCAGTACATGGGCTGGGGCATTACAAGTGCGTGGACAATGGTAGACATTCCCCTTAATAAAACCGAACTGGAGCAGGTATTTGAGCTCGCGAAAGATGGCACCCAGTGAGGATCGATCAACAGTTCCAGAATTGATGGCCTGCACAAGAGCCAAGCAATCAGTCTCAAAAACAACACGACCCATGCCATGGTCTTCAGCAAACCGGACCGCATGCAGCAGGGCAGAAGCTTCAGCATGAAGAGCATCGGACATGTTTTCCAATACGCCGGCGGCCGCGAAGAGGACGTCTCCAGCATGGTCCCGAGCAATGCACCCCCAGCCACCAGGTTGTGACAGGCCCCTAAACGCTGCATCAATGTTGATTTTAACCATATCCAGAGCTGGCTTGACCCATTTCTCAATCCTCTGCACTCTTGGCTGTACAGGTTTTGCATTGTATTCCCGCCATTCAGTGACATGTCTGGTAATTGAAACTCCTCCACTGATGCTCTGTTTTGGTTATGATTCGCTTTGTTCCTCTCTGTCCACCACAACCACATGAGGCAAATTGCTCTTAATTTTACATCCTCAGGTATACGAAAGAGCTCGTCCAACAGCCGGCGAGATGTTTGGCATTCAAGCAGGCTACGATGAACACCCTCCAGGCCACAAGCTCTCCACATTTTCTTTACCTCTTTGCAGCGTAGAAACAAGTGCCCTCCGTCCTCCGGCAGTCGATGGCACACCACACAACTTGTGTCCAGCTCAACTCCAATGTGCTCCACATTTCGCAGCAAAGGGTGACTATTGTGTGCCAATCTCCACATGAAGTGATGTACCTTCCCGGGGCAATTCACCTGCCAGAGGTGCAGCCACATTTTCTTTTCCTCCTCCCACCCTGACGAGCATTCACCAGTTTGCCGCTGGCATTGGCGCCGAAGAAGGTCGACATGAATCCTATATGTTGAGCGGACAGAGAATAACCCCTTCCTGTCAAACTGCCATGCCACGAAGTCCTCATGATGTTCAAAGATGGGGATCGACAAGATCACATTTGCATCCTCCTGACAGAATGTTTGCCTAACCAGCTGAGTATCCCAAGAGTTAGTGTATGGATCAATCAACTCCGCAACCCTAGTCAGCAGGGTGCTTCCCCTCCTCGTTCTTGGGGTACCTGACCACACCAGAAGGTAGCCATGGATCCTGCCAGATCCTAATATTGTCGCCATTGTCAATGCGCCACACCATCCCCTCCTTAATGACCTCAACTCCCTGAAGGATGCTCCGCCAAACATAGCTTATGCCAGGAGCAGTTGCAGCAGAAAGAATGTCTCCGTCCGGATAATACTTGGCTTGTAGGACACGAGCGCAAAGAGAGTCAGGGGCTTGGATCAGACGCCACACCTGTCGGGCAAGCATTGCGATGTTAAATGAGTGGAGATCCCTATACCCCAGTCCTCCTTGTTCCTTAGGAAGCTTCATCTTATCCCATCCTACCCAATGGTGTCTTGTGTCATCATCCATTTCTGACCACCAGAAGCGACAGATCAGCTGGCTAATACTCTCACACAGAGACTTAGTAAGATCAAAAAAAGCCATGGCATACACGGGTATAGCCTGAGCCACAGTTTAATTTAAGATTTCCTTGCCCTCCTTGACAGCAACTTTACTTTATATGCTTGTAGCAGTTCCCAAATTCTGTCACGAATGTATTCAAAACAGCTTTGCCTAGACCTGCCAACATAGAGCGGCAAGCCGAGGTACTTACCTTGATGCCCTTCACTGTGCAACCCAAGTAACTGCAGCAGAAGATCCTTTTTTTGGCGTGGCGTGTTCTTACTAAAGAGAATCGCAGACTTGTCTCGGTTTATTGTTTGTCCAGAGCCCCGTTCATAATGTTGGGGAACGTTGCATAAAATAAAAAAAATTATACGTTCACCAAGATCAATCTATGAGTTCATCTAGCAATGAGAGAGGTGAGTGCATCTACATACCCTTGTAGATCGAGAGCGGAAGCGTTCAAGAGAACGGGGTTGAGGGAGTCGTACTCGTCGTGATCCAAATCACCGGAGATCCTAGCGCCGAACGGATGGCACCTCCGCGTTCAACACATGTACGGTCAACGTGACGTCTCCTCCTTCTTGATCCAGCAAGGGGGAAGGAGAGGTTGATGAGATCTAGCAGCACGACGGCGTGGTGGTGGATGCAGCAGGGTTCCGGCAGAGCTTCGCCGAGCTTCTGCGAGAGGGAGAGGTGTAGCAGGGGAGAGGGAGGCGCCAAGACTTCAGGGTGCGGCTGCCCTCCCTCCCCCCCTTTATATAGGCCCCCTGGGGGCGCCGGCCCTGGAGATGGGATCTCCCAAGGGGGGCGGCGGCCAGGGGGGTGGAGTGCCCCCCAAGGCAAGTGGAGGCGCCCCCCACCCTAGGGTTTCCAACCCTAGGCGCAGGGGGGCCCAAGGGGGGGCGCACCAGCCCACCAGGGGCTGGTCCCCTCCCCACTTCAGCCCACGGGGCCCTCCGGGATAGGTGGCCCTACCCGGTGGACCCCCGGGACCCTTCCGGTGGTCCCGGTACAATACCGATGACCCCCGAAACTCTCCCGATGACCAAAACTTCACTTCCTATATATTATTCTTTACTTCCGGACCATTCCGGAACTCCTCGTGACGTCCGGGATCTCATCCGGGACTCCGAACAACTTTCGGTTTGCTGCATACTCATATTCATACAACCCTAGCGTCACCTAACCTTAAGTGTGTAGACCCTACGGGTTCGGGAGACATGTAGACATGACCGAGACGGTTCTCCGGTCAATAACCAACAGCGGGATCTGGATACCCATGTTGGCTCCCACATGCTCCTCGATGATCTCATCGGATGAACCACGATGTCGAGGATTTAAGCAACCCCGTATGCAATTCCCTTTGTCAATCGGTACATTACTTGCCCGAGATTCGATCGTTGGTACCCCAATACCTCGTTCAATCTCGTTACCAGCAAGTCACTTTCCTCATACCGCAATGCATGATCCCGACCAGACACTTGGTCACTATGAGATCATTATGATGATGCATTACCGAGTGGGCCCAGAGATACCTCTCCGTCATACGGAGTGACAAATCCCAGTCTCGATCCGTGTCAACCCAACAGACACTTTCGGAGATACCTGTAGTGCACTTTTATAGTCACCCAGTTACGTTGTGACGTTTGGTACACCCAAGGCACTTCTACGGTATCCGGGAGTTACACGATCTCATGGTCTAAGGAAAAGATACTTGACATTGGAAAAGCTCTAGCAAACGAACTACACGATCTTTGTGCTATGCTTAGGATTGGGTCTTGTCCATCACATCATTCTCCTAATGATGTGATCCCGTTAGCAATGACATCCAATGTCCATAGTCAGGAAACCATGACTATCTGTTGATCAACGAGCTAGTCAACTAGAGGCTCACTAGGGACATATTGTGGTCTATGTATTCACACGTGTATTACGATTTATGGATAATACAATTATAGCATGAATAAAAGACAATTATCATGAACAAGGAAATATAATAATAATCCTTTTATTATTGCCTCTAGGGCATATTTCCAACAGTCTCCCACTTGCACTAGAGTTAATAATCTAGTTACATTGTGATGAATCGAACACCCATAGAGTTCTGGTGTTGATCATGTTTTGCTCGCGGAAGAGGTTTAGTCAACGGATCTGCGACATTCAGATCCGTATGTACTTTGCAAATATCTATGTCTCCATCTTGAACATTTTCACGGATGGAGTTGAAACGACGCTTGATGTGCCTGGTCTTCTTGTGAAACCTGGGCTCCTTGGCAAGGGCAATAGCTCCAGTGTTGTCACAGAAGAGAGTGATTGGCCCCGACGCATTGGGTATGACTCCTAGGTCGGTGATGAACTCCTTCATCCATATTGCTTCATGTGCTGCCTCCGAGGCTGCCATGTACTCCGCTTCACATGTAGATCCTGCCATGACGCTCTGCTTGCAACTGCACCAGCTTACTGCTCCACGATTCAACATATACATGTATCCGGTTTGTGACTTAGAGTCATCCAGATCTGTGTCGAAGCTAGCGTCGACGTAACCCTTTACGATGAGCTCTTCGTCACCTCCATAAACGAGAAACATGTCCTTTGTCCTTTTCAGGTACTTCAGGATATTCTTGACCGTTGTCTAGTGTTCCTTGCCGGGATTACTTTGGTACCTTCCTAC